CATTGAACCATTTTAAAGTGACCAGTAGCAGTATTTGTTGTCCAAGAAGAGTGCAATTGTGCAGATGTCCTTGAGCACTTTAAAGTGTCTGGTGCGGTGGAGTATACGTCAGTGACTGTTTAGGGAGTTAATGGCTAGAGGGAAGAAGCTGTTTAAGTGTCTGCTGGATTTGGTGCACAGGGATCTGTAGCGCCTGCCTGAGGGGAGTAGCTGGAAAAGGTGGTGGGCAGGGTGCGGTGGATCCAGTAGGATTTTCCGTGCCCTTGTTTTGATTCTTGCAGTGTGCAAGTCCTCAAGAGTGGGTAGAGCGGTGCCAATGATTTTTTTCGCCGTCCTAACTGAACACAGGGCAGTTGGATAGTATGAGGGGCAACTGTAGTGAAGGATGTTTCCTGAAGTCATCTCTACAGTCTTGAGCGTGTTCAGCCCGAGGTTGTGTCGGTTGCACCAGAGCTCTAGCTGCTCCACTTGTTGTCAGTACGCAGACTCGTCGCCGTCTTTGATGAGACCGATGACCGAGGTGTCGTCTGCAAACTTTATGAGTTTGACAGCTGGACTTGTTGAGGTGCAATCATTTGTGTAGAGGGAGAAGAGCAGTGGAGAGAGGACGCATCCCTGTGGGGCTCCAGTGCTAGTGGTGCGTGTTGATGATGTTGTTCTTCCCAGTCTCACCTGTTGTGTCCATCCCGTCAGGAAGCTGAGGATCCACTGTCAGATCGTAGGGGACACACCAAGCTGGAGAAGTTTGGGGGTGAGGAGTTCCGGGATGATGGTGTTGAACGCAAAGCTGAAATCCACAAACAGGATCCTTGCATAGGTCCCTGTGCTGTCGAGGTGCACGAGGATGTAGTGCAGACCTATGTTGACTGCGTCCTCCACAGACCTGTTTGCCCGGTAGGCAAACTGAAGAGGGTCCAGCAGGGGTCCGGTGACATTCTTTAGGTGGTTCAGCACAAGGCATTCAAAGGACTTCATGACCACAGACGTCAGAGCGACAGGCTTATAGTCGTTCAGTTCCAATGTTGCCGATTTCTTGGGAACTGGGATGATGGTAGACTGTTTGAAGCAGGATGGGACCTCACACAGCTCCAGGGATCTGTTGAAGATTTGTGTGAAGACCGGAGCACACTGGTCAGCGCAGACTTTCAGGCAGGAGGGGGACACTTTGTGGGGGCCCCGCAGCTTTCTTGATCTTCTGCTGCTTGAAGAGCCGTCTCACGTCCTGTTCGTGGATCTGTAGGGGAGAAAATGAGGGTGGGGGGGTAGATAGAGTAGTTTCTGGTCGAGGTGGGTGTATGTGGGAAATGGGGGTGTCCTTTTCAAGTCGGCAGAAAAACATGTTTAATTCATCAGCAAGACCCTTATTGTTCACTGTTTGGGGGGGATGGCATTCTATAGTTTGTGATTGCTTTCAGGCCATTCCACACAGATACAGAGTCGTTAGCAGAGAACTGTTTTTTCAGCCTCTCCGCATAGCTTCTCTTAGCATTGTTAATTTCCTTTGTCAATTGGTTTCAGTCGTGTTTGTACAGTGCCCGATCTCCACTTCTAAATGCGGCCTCTTTCTCTTTCCTGAATTGCCTGAGTTTGGGAGTGAACCATGGCTTGTTATTGTTGAAGGTGCGGAAGGACTTCGTTGGTACACACGTCCTCACAGAAACTGATGTATGATGTTACAGTGTCTGTGTATTCATCCAGTGTGCCCGTTGAAGTTTCAAAGACGCCCCAATCAGTGCAGTCTAAGCATTCTTGTTCAGCTAGCTTTGCTTCATCTGTCCATTTTTTCACAGTCTTAACAACCGGTTTAACACATTTAAGTTTCTGTCTGTATGTAGGTATAAAGTGTATTAAATTGTGGTCAGAAAGACCCAATGCTGCACGGGCGATCAATCGGTATGAATGTTTGATTGTTGTATAGCAGTGGTCTAGAACAGGGGTCCCCAACCGCCGGTCCGCGGACCGGTACCGGTCCGCAGGGCATTTGGTACCGGGCCGCACAGAAAGAACTTGCCTTATTTCCGTTTTATTTATTTCGGAATACGAAAGATGTTTTATTTTGAAAAATTACC